AAAAAAGCTTAAAAAATGTACGCGTTTTCTCTTTTACTCTTCATCATTGTCCTCTGAATATCTTTTATATGTCCCCAAACAGATGAAGGCTTATGTGCCAGATCATGCCTGTAAGGTGAATGGCACAAGGATGCCCAGTCATGCGTCGCGATCGCTTTCCTAGTCTTTTAAGTTTTGCGGAATTTATTGTTATGCTACAAAAATAAATCACTCATCTTCAAAAATGGCCGATCTTGCAGAAATTAATTTTGACATAAAACAAAATATCTGGCAGTATAACTCTTTTCTTGTCTCAAAATATAATAGACACAATTTCTGTACGTTGCGTGCTGCCATAAACCTGTTTGTAAATGAATCTAAGTGGCGCCAAAACATTGATTTCTGTTGTTTTCAGGCTCACAATGGTTAGTCCAACTTACATCTCCGGTGATTATCCTGTTAAAAAAAAAGCTATCCATGGCATACCCATTAGTGTAATCCATTTTCAAATTGCCTAACAGGTATTTATCTAGCTCCCATAATGTCAGGATGTATCATATGTTTAGTTTAACGTAGAGTAACCATAAGCATACATACATACATACATACATACATTCCAAAGTCCAAAGTGCTTCACGGTAGATATAAAACTAGTTACAAGTGTTTGCTCCCCGATCAACCGGTGGCTGAGCATTACGTCATTTTTCTCCACCCCTGTTCAACCCGCAGCTGAGCATTACGTTATTTTTCTCTACCACCGGTAAAGCGGTGGTTAGACCTCAAAGTGTTAAGTCAGAATTTATAATCTTAAGGTATGACTTTCCTTCTGATGCTAATACGCATTCAACACATTTACTTTGCCGAACGTGCTACCTTAAACCTGTTCATTATGGGGGAATCTGGGTGTCTCCAATTCAATGGTCTTTCTCTGCTCGTAATAATGGACCCATGTGATTATCATGCTTCAGAAAATTCTGTCTTTTTTATGTAGCTCCAGATGCTCTTGGTTAGTAACCACTGTGTGCATGGAATTTGTTAACATTCTGGGAACCAATTTCTGTAGATATTTCAGTAGGAAAAAGAGTTTTGTAAACTGCAGGAAATGTTATAACTACTGAAGGGTGTCACGGTGCTTAGATTGTTTGCCCATTCCAAGCAGCAGATAACTTGCCACAGTGGAACCTGACACTGAGGTCTCTTTCTACTTTCAATTCGGAATTTCCATTAATTCTACTGATCTATAACTTTACTGTGCTTACAAGTATATCTAAGTTAATAAATGTTCATTAACTTCTTGTGAATGTTTGCAAAGCTTTCTCTTTCTAAAAACATAAATTCTATAAGCACTCTTAGCTTTCTAAGTTTCAAGAGTATCGGTTATTTTTATTTGTGTAGTCATACTGTCTATATCTGGCCTTCATACTCAGGACATATCTACTGTGCTTCTCCCTTCGGACAGTTCACGTATCTGTAATTATGAATGCATTACTTCGTAGGTGGAAACCCTGCGGTAGTACCTCGCTCATTGCACTAAAGAGAGAGGTTTGGTGAATACCAACGCCAACGTTACAGTGCTCGCGTGACTGATCATTTTTACCCTTCGTTCATATGCTCGTGTGTTGTCACTCCTCGTTGAAATAAATGTGTGAAACTGTGGGCAGCTAAATACCCAGACTAGAGATGCGAGCTGGGTTTAACATTAGGAACCGGATTTTCCCAGTTTTTTTTTTAACAGGATTAGAGGTTTATCCCTTGTTTCATTTTTAAGATTCGGTTTCTGGTTCTTTCTAAAGTGTACTTTCACACTAAACTCCTAACGCCTGAACTCTGAAATGTTATTCACTAATTACAACTTGACCTCTTCAAGTCTAGATTTAACTGTTATCTTTCCTGCATAGCCCCCAAGAATTTTACTTTTTGCCCTTTCTTACGATAATACAACACCACACAGTAACCCTCTACCTTGGGCCTTGTAATGAGTTTAAATTACTGAAAAAAAAGAAAATTAGTGTACTGTCACCATCGTGTCTTACCGAGAAAGAACAAGCTTAATTTAGCAGAAAAAGTGTGTTTAGATCTGAAGAAAATCATACCATAAGAGTTTATACCCAATCTTGCTATCAGCTTTGACTCCCATCTGTGCACATTGTCAAATTAATTTCTTCCAGATCGGCTTAATTTGAAGGGGAATGATGTGCTTTTGCAACATGACAAACAGCTTTAAGACCAGACAAATAATTACAACGCATGACTAGAGATTCTTGCCACAATCCATATTACAGGTATGACCTAGTATGAAGGTTTTCTTCTGTTTGGTCACAAGAGATATTCAGAGGATAGCGTTTCTCCAATTATGATAAGGTGAAAGATACAAATCGTAAATGGCAAAGGACAAAAATCCTACAGGCCGTTTACTTGCCTTCATTCAAACGACTGAGAACAAAAGAGGACATTGATGTCTAGATATGAAATCGTGGGATCGTTGTGTTCATTTGTATTAATGGTAATAAAAATTATAACATTAGCCGTTTCTCTATAAGGAAACATTTGACTTTGATTGATAGAGCAGCCAGCGCGACTGTCGCTTAAAATTTATAAAATTTCAACTCTTTCTGATGTTAAGTATAAGTGTCCTTTTTGTTTCCATTTACTTTGTTGTTCTTCATATGTTCGCTCCATGGTATTTTCAGTATCCTTCTCTAGAACCACATTTTTGTTGCTTCAATTCTCTTCATCTTTGAAGAGATTGTCAAGTATTCACTGCCATATAGTTGGACAGATGTCACGTAACAGTTCAGTACTCTTTTCTTTGTTTCTAACGAATTTTTCTTGATACTTTGCTTAGCTTTTGGAAAGCATATTTCCCTATCCCAATGCGCCTTTGGATTTCAGTGTCACACTTTCTGCCCTCTGTTAAAACACTTCCCAGATATTTAAATTTTCATATTTGTTTGCTTTTCATGGATAACATAAAAATGTTCTCAACTAACACATTTGAATCTACAGTCTGTTTTGTTTACATCAAAGCGGGACTAATACTACTTAACATTTCAGTACTCTTTTCTTTGTTTTTAACGGTATTTTTCTGTTTCTTAATACTTTGTTTAGCTTTTGGAAGACATCTTTTGCTTTTCCAATACGCCTTCGGATTTAAGTGTCACACTTTCCATCCTCTGTTAAAACACTTCCCATTTATTTAAATTGTACTAGTTTGATTTTGTCATCTCCTATTTGCAAATGGTATGTTGAGATCTTCCTTTTGCTAACATCCATACATTCTCTCCTCTTGCAAATGATGCTTACTCCTTTCAACTCGTTTTCCTTCACCACTCACTGTGGGAGTTATCACAGTTTCTTTTCCGTGTCCACTATCAACACTGTCATCCACATATCTTATGCTGTTAAAATTGTGGTCGCCAATAAGGATTTCTGATAGGATTTCTAATTCTGTCAGAATCGCCTGACTATATAGGCTGAATAAGTCCGGTGAGAAGACACATCCTTGTCTTATACCCATTTCTATTTTTTCATATTTACTGAATTCACTTTCTATCTGTATGTAACCCATTTACTGCTAGTATAGGTTCTGGATTATTCTAATATCCTTCTAAAACATGTCAACGTTACCTAATAGTTCCAACAGTTTTTTTTATGAGGTACTATAACAAATGAATTTACATAATCTATAAACCACAGGTATATATCCTTCTGCTCTTATATTGCTCTTTCTGGTATCATTTTGAGTATAAATATCACATTCCTTGTTCCAGTGTTACTAACGAACTGTTCTTGTACTATTTCCGGTTTAATTCTGCTGTGCGGTCTATCGAATGAGTTTTATGTGGCTCATGAGGCTGATTGCCCGATGTGGTCCACATTTGTTGGCTTCTTAGGCAGTGATATGAAAATGGGTCTATTTAGGTGTTTTGTAATGTCACCTGTTTATTTCACTTATTGTATCTGTAATCTAGTCAATACCGAAGTCATATAAGTCTGCTAGTATCTCTATTACCCTACCATCTGGCCCTGCTGCTTTGTTCCTTTGGTCAGTGCTGATTTCACTTAAGATTTTAATATTTCTGCTCCTTCGATATTTCTGCGTATTGCCAGTTGTCTTCTTTCGTTACGGAAGAGTTATCTGATGTATTCGTTCCATCTCTTAAGTATTTTTCTTTCTCTGATATCAGTGTCCCTTCCTTGGATTCTATGTATCCTGTAAATGAGCATGTCTTTTGCCCTGTTAGTTCTCTTACTTCTTTATGCACATCTGCCTGATCTGTGATATTCATTCATTCTATTTCTGCACACATTTCATCGATCCATTCCTCTTTTGCTTGCCTGCATTTGTTCCTAATTTCATTGTGCAAAGTCCTATGTTCTGTGCCGTACACTGGCATTGTTTTTGTCTCCTTTTCATCATGTCAAGAATTTTATGTCACCCACTCTTTTTCCTTTGTCTCGTTTTCTTTCGGATCATCTCGATTGCTGATGTTACTACAGCTTCTCTTAATGTGTCTCACTTCGTGTTTTCATTCTCATTTTGTCCATTGTAACTGTTTTTAACACTGTCCATGTATTTTTTCACATCCGGGCCATACAAAAGTCTACAGTTTGGGTGTTGCCTTGACCCTCTTCAATTTCCGTAGTTTCACACTAATTTTATATATTACTGGAAGTTATTTGCTCCCGCCGTCGACACTTGGGTATATATTACAGAGCTAAACTGCATTCCTGAAGATTTAATTGATACTTATATAGTAGATTTGGTTTTTCGTTTCTCCTTCTGGGTTTCTCCATGTCTATATACGTCTTGGCTGTTCTTGTAACCAAGCGATGGCTACTACCTGATCATTCGCCGGGCAACATTGGATCCATTTTTCTCCGCGTACAATTATTTTTTATAACTGATCCATACACCGAGCTATTTGAAGTATTAAGTATTTACTAATTCTGATATACGAGTGTTTATTATTAATATTATTATTTACTATTACTAATATACAAAATTATTTACTAATAGGCTTGCGGCCATATCACGTTGAAACCCCGATTTCTCTATGATCACCGAAGTTAAGCAACGCCATGACTGGTTAGTATCAAGATGGATGACCGATTGGGAATACCAGGTGCTATAAGCTTGGATGTGCGGGAGGTGTAATGGATAATGGCTTGAATTTGTTAATCGGAAAACCGAGTTTTTAATTCCTGTTGGATTCTTTATATTCATTTATTTTGGGAAATACGTGAATCCACCTCTTTTCATTCAGCTATGGGTTAATTAGTAAAACTTGTATCACTCAAAATTCTTACAATCTAAACATATTTGTTGGCATTAAATATCCTGCAATGGGATGAAAAGCCGCTGTAAAAAAAATCAATACCTACTAATTATTTTACTTTAGTTTAGTATTTTCTAATTCTAATATACTAATTAATATTAGTATACTTTGGGTATTTCTATTGTTAAATCTGTTGTAATTAAAAATACATTACTCTTTTTATCAAACCACTTAATTTATTATGAATCAATAAGCCGGGGTAGATAGGTTAAGATCGGTCGGCATAAACAAATTAGAACAGACTGAGATAAGTATTTATTTTTTCAGCGCACCCAAGTCGCTACCGAATGTGGCATAAGACTGGGATAAGTAGATGAATAACAAAATGCGGCAGATATTGATCGAATGTCTCCAGAAATTACAAGTTTTGTATAAGTTTTTTTTTTACTTGAGACAACAGAAATTCTAAAGAAGGATGCGAAGAATAGCATGTGAGAAACGAGAGAGTTTTAGTTTTTAAGGAGGATTAGATCGAAGCATATAAAGAGATTAAGTTAGCTTGATAGAGATTGACTATTTTACATATGAAAAGAATTAAACAGGTAAATATATTGATAGATTTAAATAGATATACATACAAAAATAGATATATGTGAACAGGCTGAGAATAGATAGATAGATAGATAGAGATAGATAGATAGATAGATAGATAGGAACATAGGAAGATATAATCAGATATATATATATATATATATATATATATATATATATATATAGAGAGAGAGAGAGAGAGAGAGAGAGGAGAGTGAGAGAGATAGTACAGACTGAATAAAATAGATATTAATTACCGTAGATAAAATTAACTGTACAAGAAATATTCGGCATTCATTAACCTTACTGTCGGTTGACATTTATTAAATGTCTTCATGAAGTTTTCAGCAATTTAGACTTCTCGTGTCCACTAACTGTTGTAGCTCTTTCTAGTAATGACGAGAGTTTCTTTCGAAACCTTTAGCTTCTGTTAGTGTGGAAGGTTAATGGCTTGATTATGCCATTATTTTTCTTTCTATTTATATGCTCAACATATTTTTGTTGTAACTGTTGTTGGAAATGTTCAAATGATGCTGTTTGGTAAATACATTTGTGACTTTGTAGCGCCAGTCCATAGGATGGAAGATCATTTTCTTTTACATTTTTTGATTTTTGATTTATTCAAATGCGATTTAAACCTGATTTTCTTCTTCTTCTTCTTCTTCTTCTTCTTAAACCTTCTTCTTCTTCTTCCTTCTTCTTCTTCTTCTTCTTCTTCTTCTTTATTATTATTATTATTATTATTATTATTATTATTATTTTACTACTATTACTACTATTACTACTACTACTTCTTTGTTGGTTGTTGTTGTTGTTGTTATTATTATTATTATTATTATTTTTTTTTTTTTTTTTTTTCTTTGATTTCTGGTGTTTCATTTCTTTCCGGGTCCCTTGACAAAAAAAAAAATTAGAATTATTATTATTATTATTTCCATGACACAAAAAAAAAATTATTATTATTATTATTCTACTAGTACTGCTACTACTTTTTTTCTTCTTCTCCTTCATCTACTACTGCTATTTCTCCTTTTCTACTAATACTACTGTCACTTTTTCTACTGACATCAAAACAGTTCACAAACGTTAAAATCAATATTTGATGATTTTTTTAAATTTTTGTATTAAAAGTTGTTAATGATTTTTAATACATAACCTGTCCACTGTTCACTACCTTTAACCTTAACCCTAACCCTAACCCTAACTCCTAACCTTAACACTAACTTCTAACCCTAACACAAACCCTAACATATTTCATACTCCCAACAGTTGGTAAATATCATACCATAGTTCAAAAAAATAAATAGTAGATATCATACTATAGTAGAAAATGGATGGTAGACATCATACTATGAAGATACACACCAGGATTTCTTCTTTAAGCAGCGGTTAAATAATTTTGCTAGGATCGGGAATAATTCTGGGTTGATATCGAGATGAATTTGCTGGATTCAATTTGAGTAAATGGGACTCACAAATTAATGACTTCCAGATTTCTGAGTTTCTCTTCGTCATAAAATTGCCTATTTTCTCTACATCACCCTTTCCTTTTTTACTTTCTTTTTCTTTCGTTTTCTTTCGTTTATTGTCTTCTTTCTTATTTTTCTTTTAACGTTCTTTTTTAATTTTATTTATTTTTTCTTTCTTTCCTTGACATTTCTTTTTCTTTCTTTCCTATTCTCCTTTGCCTTTCTTTTTCAATTGCTTTCACAATTTTCTTTACATTTTTTATTTCGCTCTTTATTTATCCTTTAACTTCCTTTATTCATTTTCTTTTTTCTTTCTTTCTTTGACATCTCTTTTTTATTTCCTTTTTTCTTTGTCTGTCTTTTTGCTTTCCTATTTTTCCTTCACATTTTTTATTTTGCTTTATTTTCTTATTTTCTTTAACTTTCTTTTTTATTTTCTTTCTTTCTGTCATTTCTTTCTTTCTTTACACTGCTTTTTCTTTATTTTTTGCTTTCTTATTTTTCTTTTACATTTTTACTTTTCTTTGTTTTCCCTCCCTTTATTTGTCATTTTTTTTTATTTTGCCATTAATTTTACTTATGTAATGTATTTAGTTTCTTCTTTTCATAATTTTACTTTAACTTTCCTTTTCATTTTCTTTCTTTCTTTTACTTTTTTTTATTTCTTATTTTTGTCTTTCTTTTTTCTTTCTTTGTTATTTTTCATTTACATTTTTCATTCGTTTTTTTCTTTCTATTTTATTTTTCCTTTACATTACTTTTATCATTTTTCTTTTCTTTTTGTATTTATTTCTTACTTGCTTGCTTTTTATATTTTTACAATGATGTTTTTTTTACCATTCTTTTTATTTTCTTTCATTTTATTGTCTTTCTTTCATATTTTTTCTTTAGTTTTTTAATAATTTTCTTTAGTTTTTTTCCTTCTTTTTCTTCACTTTCTTTATAATTTTCCCCCATTTTTTTTCTTTTCTCTTCATTCTTCATTTTTTCTTTTTTGATCTACGTACTAAGTTCAAGTTAGCTTTGCCGAAGATCACATCAGGTAAAGTTTCCTGAAATTTTCATATGTACACAGCTTACAAAATATGAGGATAATTCTAGACGACGCTGATCAAACTAAGCAACTGTCAACCATTCCCGATTACACGTCCATAGCATAGTTTTCTTCTACTCGACGTCAGTCCAGTCGTACGATGCGCCACTCAAATTAATTCATCTTATTTGCTATCTCTATCATTTTTATTAAGCTTTGTAAGCATATTTCCGATTTACACGAGAGTGAAAATTGCCAACATAGTTCCGGCTTACACAAGGTTTAAAAAGGTAGCTATTGGTCGGATTTATATCTGAGTCTGCAAGAATCAACCCGGAAAATGTCCCCTTTTTTTTTGTCTGATAGGGAGTTATAACGCAGGGGAAGATGCAGTCTACATATTCTAACTTCCGCCTGCAGGGCAAGGCTCAAATGTGAATATTGAATTCACCTCCGCAATATCAGTCTCTCTTTCTAACAATATATATATATATATATATATATATATATATATATATCTAAAGAAGGTGGTCCAAACGTTTTTTTCCCTAATGGATTTTGAAAAAATATTTTTTGTTTATATAATTTTGACACGTTTATTGGTCCCGTATAAGTCTATAGGTGAAATAATTGGTTAAAAATCGTTAATAACACTTTCAATGTTCAATGGAATTTCTAGATTGGTGTATTCTGTTTGTTTTTAATCAATTTTCTTTGTAGAATTGTATGAAGAGTTCTTTATCGGTGTCAATTAAGGTTTGTACGAGTAGTTATTGCATTTAATCTTTTAATGTTTTATGTATGTATGTATGTTGGATGTTTTTTTTTTTTTTTTTTTCCTGTCAGCATGCGTGTATATATTTCCTATCTACGTCGAGGAATTTAAACTTATTTGTATATAGAAAGATATGTCTGCGAAATTTAAAACAATGTATAATATTTTTTTCTGAATAAATATGTATTGTCCAAAAAGATGTCATCCTCCCTGCCTCTGTTTAATATTCAAATGTATCTATGTTGTCTATGTATATTTCTTTTATTTAAATTTTAAAATATATAATTTTTAAATTTATAATTTCAAATTTTATATATAATATGTCTGTTTTAATTACTTAGAATAATGTTTGTTTTTCTGTTCTGCCCATAACATTTATTTGCCCATTAAATATATTTTAATAATTGGTTAGTTCGTTGTCACTTTTTTTGAATTTTCTAGGTTGGTGTATCAGAGTGTTTTTATAATAAGTGCTGTGTGATGATCCGAAATCGGTGTCTGTGTAAACGGTCTCTGTGTGTATCTTAAATTGTGTATGTATGTATGTATGTATGTATGTATGTATTTTTTTTTTTTTTTTTTAAGGGTCGCGGGTATATTTCCTGTATCGTCGCCTTTTATATATGTATATATATAGATATGTCTATATTTTTATTATATTCTGATTGTGTTTTTTCTTTTTCAAGATGTTTTCTTTTATGATTCAAAGGTATCTATGTTGAATTAGATTAGATTTAAATTTTAAAATGGATAATTTTTTTTAAATTTTAGTTTCAAATTTTTTCATATAATTTACTATTTATTATATATATATATATATATATATATATAAATATTAAATATATATAAGGTTTAAGTTTTTTTGAATTTTATAGAAAAAATAAATAATTTTATAATAAGTGCTCGAAATAAAAAAATATTAAAATAATAATTAAAAATAAAGTTTTTATTTAATATATATATATATATATTATATATATATATATA